TCGTTGTTCTTATGCTTAAGTAAACGTATATGTATTTATTGTTACTTTGATAGCATAATTGAAAAATAAGATTTTAAGATCAATCGAACAAACGACGTTATCTATGTTTTAACTATTCTTTAATTCGATGAAACTTCCACATTGTTCGGGAATATGAAATTGTACCTGACAGCTTGTATTGACTACTACAGTTTTTTATATATGCAGGACAGCATATTGTCCTTAAGGAGATTGTAGTTGATGTTTTATGATATATAAATTTATTGTTAAAATAAATTGCGAGATAGAAAGACTAACTCAAGAAATTTTTTTCAACATTTGTTGAGAAATGAGACCCACCCTATTTGATAGATTAAATCACGCTGAATCTAATGGTATATTTTTTTATTGGGCTTACGCTTCAAAATCTCGACTTATTTTATCTCAAAGTATGAAATTTTTTACATATTAGCCTTATGGGGCGACCTCCGGAATGAAGCATTCATAAGGTATCTATAAACAAAAAGTAATTCGTTCGGGCATCAGAGTATATAAAAAAAAATTGAACTTAAAGAACCTCCTTAATTGATGATTTTTTTAATTATTGATCCACAAGTTTTTTGTGCTTGCTTTATTCGCTTTATTGTCTTTGCCCTTTCCAAAGAGTACCGTAGGCGTAGATATTGGTTTTCATTGCAAACCGCCTTGAGGGAGGTTTTTTAGCAGTAGTAAGGAGATAATTATTTCCTGCACTACAAAAGAGCCTCGCTTGACAGAATCGTTCAAGGCCCGATCTTGACTAATTTATTTACTCAATGTCCTCGACGCCCATCGCAATCTATCCTGTGTTCCCCTATTTTATGTTCTGTTTAGGATTTTTGCAATTACATTTCTCATCGGAAACGCTACAAAGAAGATAAAAAAAAATTAGTTCACACAATAAGCTACGCTTGCAACGACTTTCTCAATTTTCATTTGTTTTTATCGGAATTTGTGGGCATATTGAGCAATGATCTTTTTTTAATACTTTACGAATTTAATTATTACTTAATATTTTAAATATGCTTATCATTTTTTTTCTATCTCTATATATATCCTCCATTTTTCTTATTACTTTTTGCGTCAGCTATATAAAATAATCAAAATACCTATCTCTGTACATGTTGATAATTATTTTACATTTCTGATTTATCCTGCATATTGTAAACGTTTTATACTGAGTATTATTATTGGCTGCGACCGTACCGAATCGGTAAATCTTAGAGAGACATTAGTATAGCTAGTAACCTTGGAAAATAGTACTCATAAAAATAAATGGATCTAAAAATACTACTACTCAGTATTGTCGCTCATGAAGGGATGAATTTTTTGCCCGACAACGTGAAATTAAGTCAATAGCATTAATTGAAGTATACGAAATTAGACTTGCTTTAGAAAAATAACGTTTACTACCTACAACATGATTATTTATGCAACGATTTATGCGATACGCACTGATGCCTGTGCAACCAATAAAAGTTTATGCTTGAAATCCTTGTAATTTTTGTACGCCTTGCGACTGGTGGGTGTTGTACATAAGATATTAATATGGACTCGAATCCCTATAACTGAAAGAGAGTATTGGTATTTTACCAATAATCATTCATTTAATAATATAAAAAAAATTCAATCATAAAAACTTTTAGATCGTCCAAAAAGTGTATATTATTTTAATGCTTGCAAGTATAGTCACTAGTGATATTTTAAAGTGCTCCTATTGAATTTTGTATATTATAATGTTTCCAAAAGAAAGCTGCTGATGTTTCTGCAATTTTTGTGTTGGTGTATAGTAGTGATAACTGGTATTTCATTCAGTTGAAAGCTTTTACTTATTGATAATGGGTACGCTACTAAATTATCCATAATACTTTAAAAATAATGGAGTTGTAACGCTTTTGCTCATTTATTTATACTTGCAAAATATGTGGCTTTATTTTTGTAATTTTGATGAGATTACACGAATTATTAACTTGAATTATGGTGCACTACGAAATAGAAAGCTATAGTTCAAAAAAGGAATTGATAAAATTATTCTAAATGTTCAAGCATGAAGTTATCTTTCGTGCATGTTCAGTCATTTAAATAGATTTGTAGTCATACAAGTGATTGATTGCATGAACTGTAATCGACATCGTGATTTTTAACTAGACAAAAACTGATAGAGCAGATAGAGTGATTCGATTTTGCATAAATATATCTGACTCGATGCGTGGCACTTTTACCGCGTACAAACAAAGGCTGGCTATTAATCATGTGGTTGTGATCGCTTAAAAGCTCCCATTCATGGGCGCGCAATCGGTCGCGAGCGATGCTGATTTATCGCGATGAGCTTTTAAAAATCTCGAATTGAGCTTGCAAGCTCGAAACACGAGCGAGACTCATCGCTCATCTTTGCTCGTCGGCTCGTCGGCTGAGGCTCTCTGGGCAACGAACGATACATCGGTACATCGATCGAATTTCATATTTGTGTGTCCGAAATTGCGTGATTGTGCACCGATTTCGATTAGTGTATTAGGCTTAGGTTTGGCTCGCTGCAAGCTCGTATCTGCGCGCGCAGGACGATGTGTTGTAGCACGTGTGTCTCGGCTGCGACAGAAGCTCGTCCAACTTTCGGCCCGTCTACTGACAAGTGATTTTGATTGATCATCAGGCCTGCCTGATGCCACTGCTGCTTCTATCGTGTTTGTTCTCTACGCTATGGTTCGCACAAGGCAAATCTTTTTTTAAACACCAATCAATTAACAGTCAGTAGTTTTTACCATAAAAATACTGATTAATGAATTCGAAGAAATCAAACATTTCAAATATTTTTCCGTAGTCATTTCGTAAAACAGAATGCCATTTAAAAATGAAAATCCAACTTTGAACCAATGTTTTTTTTTAGTATGTCACTCTTTATGCAGAATAGTCCATATACATGTGTGTAAGGCTTAGAATTTAAAGAAAATACTTTATAAATAATAACACCATGTCCAAGAAAGTAAATCGATGACACCTAATATTCTACTAATTATACAAATTTCAATCGGTACAGAATATGCGACACAGATGTTTATGACCACAAGAGCTTTAAACGTCACTATGCATTTTGACTTCTAACTTAGATGTTATTTTAAGTCTTAATGTTCATTATGCGTGTGTGTGTGAGTGAGTGTGCTGTTGATGAAAATAGAAATGAGCTTAGTTCTAGGTGAATCGTCAGCTTTTGATTTCCGTATTGTGAACATTTTGCACTTGTCGAATTTCTTTTTGAATTTTGTGAATGGCAAACTCATTTGTATTAATGGAATTATGTGTATGTGTATATTAAACTTTCAATATTTGAATGAATTTTATAGCGCCATCTCATTCTACCCTACTTGTTAATTAAAATATTTCATAAAACTTGAAATATAAAAGTAACACCAATCATTAATAAAATAAAAAAATTGTATACCCGTACGTGAAAAGCGCCAGATTAGTCTATTTCGTCTCAATCTCTATAAGTAGCCGCTGCCAAGTACGTCAAGACTTTCAATTTCAGATGACAAGAGGTCAACGCGACCCTTGCTTTATTCTTCATCGTCTCCTGCATGAAGCGTGAAAAGCTGAAATGTGAAAAGGTCAATATCAAGAACGGAAAAAAGTGTGAACGTGCCAACGATCGTGTAGTCCCAGTTAGTAGCAAAATCTCTGACACGTTCTTTCATCATGAGCCGTAAATAATAAGTAACTGAGTTACCATTGCTCGGAGGAATTATTGTAGGGGATTTGATTAGTTTCTATATACTTGAAAAAATTGGGAAAGCAAGTGTTACGTATAAAAATGGCAGTAGGTGATGAATTATATGTGATTAAGAAAGTGAGAAGAATTTATTTGAATTTTGAAATTCATTCAATACCACGTGTCTAAATTGCTCATAGGTATCAATATATTTCATGAAAAAATACTGTTTATTACTAGAGCAAATATACTTATTTAAATATATCATAACAGATAGTCTTCTTTATTACTAACTTTGCTGTATAAAATGTTTGAAAATGATATTGAGAAAAAAATAAAATAATTAGGTGAAGGAAGTACATTTTGCCAATTTTGTATTTCTTCAATGGCATTATTTGAAGGTATATCTTAAAGTCGATGTTGACCTTTCTATTAAAATAGTCTTTTACCTGATGGAGATTGATGAATTAACATAGCAACTGACAGAATCTGCTACAATTCTTTCTCACTGACTGCAATGGTGAGATTCATTATTTCTCTAGCTTCAAACATTCTATGGAACCACTAAGACGGCGACAGCGCTTAATGGCTTCCTTCAAAAATTCATACTTGCAGCTTTAGCACCTGAACTCCTCATCATTTGACAAATCATTAACTCTACGTTAACGCATAATGCAAAGTTGCTTCTTCTTACGGCTGCAACAACTAAGACCATACACGGCTGTCTTATCGAGTTCGACTACTACAAATTTCATGAAGACTGTTTAGAAAATATATATGGCATGTACCTACATTTCACATATTATAGCCTTACAGCTCCATTTAATAACTTTGTCTAAGATTACTTATGTGCGTGGTATATAGAGGGCAGGCCAAGTTTAAAAATTCATACATTGCCGTTCGTCGAGGAGACACGCAGTAGCAGCAGCAGTGTATAAGCAAAGTTTTCACTAAATCCGCTCGATGAAGTCTCGCGTTTGTTGAGATGAGAACAAACTTGCTTTCTAGCGCGCGGTTCAACTCGTCTTCGCTATCGAGAGTAAACTTGCTTTTTGACTTTAATCTCTGATGGTCCGTTTTAGACCGCATTGCTCTCAGAAGATTGGCTATGTGCCTGCCACGAGTAAAACTTTTTGAAATAAGGGTGCGGAGAAAAAAAATTGCCCCAAGATCCATGTAGTAGCCGTACATTTTATAACAAATTGTTTATAAATTTCTTATCAAAATTTTACGATGACAAAAATATAAATAATTCATGAGTTTCTATTTTTCATTGCAGCAATATTAGCACACTTTTTTTTCTTGGCTACATTCTTTTGGCTAAACACAATGTGCTTCAATATCTGGTGGACCTTTAGGTGAGTTTTATTTTTTCTTACTCTATTGTTATTAGACATTGTCACACATTTATTCCATTAATTCATAATAACAATTACGCTTCGCATTTAAAAAACTGACAAGCTTATAAATAAAATATACCATTTTAATGCGTTATTATGATAAAAAGACCAAAAAATTGCGAGTACATGCTACTTTTGCTCCTGAACGAAGATAACAATCTCCACTGGATTGAACGCGTATCGGGAAATCATCGAACAGGCACATAGGCGAGAGTCGGAGTACATGTTCCAATCTACTCCGATATTACGCGCACGTTTTGAAGTTGAGAGAAAAAAGGCGTGTTACGCGGTGAAAGAGAAATAGAGAGCAAACGCGCCTAGAGGATGTTTTTTACATAATTTCATTTACACGAACGCATACGAGCTCGCACGCAAGTGTACGCATCAAACGTGTCGGATCGCTTGTAGAAGGAATTTTTGATGATGTGCAGTATCAAACGTTTGATGTTCAACACCTTGTTTGAACGACAGGTTTGCGTTTCGGTCTGGTGGCTTTTTTTTAATAATATCGTTACGTAAAAAAGTATGATTCTCGAATAGGATTTAATTAATTTGGTGATTTGCAAATCAAAATATTCAAAATAATTTAATTATATATCAATAATAAGTCAATATGTTAAAATGCCTAATCATGCACTTTTTTAATGTCAATTTTCATTGTTAATTTTCAGGAGCATTAAACTTTGATGATTCGTAAATTGTTTATATAACTGAAAAATTCAGCCTGAAACGTTTATGAACAAAATGACAGATAATATAGGTAATAATGAACTTTACGTTGGTTTTTCATTGTGAGTGAAAACGTTGAAAAATTAGATAAAGTTGCTCTCGTTAAAGCATTCCATCCTTTGTCGTGCGTCGTAAAGCGACGCGGGAAAAAATAAAAAAGTAGTTGGTAGTACTGTGTAATGCTCGCAATGTATACGTATTAGTCTCCTAGGAATTGAAGCCTCTAGGAACAATTTTGTAGCTTCATTCTTCTTGCACGTCTATCCGTCTGTGTATGTATGCGCCGCTACAACTCGCATGAAACGCTCGTCCTCAAAATCTCCAGAGGGTCGAACGCCGCGTACATATGACGCAGCGACAAGCAGCCGACAATCAGCGTCTAGCCATTGTTGTATCCTATATAATGTGTCAGAATGCCATGGGAAGTTTCGCGCCCCAGTTTTAGAAATGATCGCGCGCACGAGCCGAGCGATGCAGCCGCAGCATACGTTATATATATACGAGCGCGCGCGGCTTGTTGCAACTTCTGCACCACTGCATTCTTCCTCTGCCTGAATCCCTAATTGACAACGAGCGCCTCACGAGTGCATCCAGCGAATTGAAAGCTGATGCTAATTAAACATCGCCGCGCGCGCACCAAGCGTTGAAAACTTTATTATGTTCGTTGCCGCACTGCCACGTTGTGAAGCAGTTCACGAATATAACTTCATAATTTCACAGTTTCTTATAATTTACTTGAATCTACGAAGAAGTGACGATGTCAGTCGTTATTATTAAATTCATTTCATTGCCTACGATAGGTCAGCAATTACTTGAACGCATATTTACGATGTCGGTGTTCGAAAGTTTCGGATGCATTGAAAATGTTCACTATCTTATCTTTATATATAAAATGTTCTCTAACCTTAGTAAAAAATAAAGATTATGATGTTGGACAATTTATGTATTATCATTTAGATAAATCGATAAAGGTGAGCTTGAATCTTATTCTCGTAGCTTGCATTCGAAGTCATGAGTATACGTGCGCGTGCACTTATATATTGAAATCAATATGAATTTACAACTCCAAGTGTGAAATTAGCATTCATATGTATTTTTTGAAGTGTTCGTAACAAAAAAATTCTTTATAAATATGATTTTTCAACCTTTGAATTAATAGTAGAATTAAAAAAAAATTGTATCCAATTTTAATCGATACCCATTTTATTCAGAAAGTAAAATAACATTTTGCGACCGAATCCGGCGAAAACTTTGCGCTCAATCTTCGTCACAGTAAAATGCATTCGAAACAACAGAGCGTTCCCCGGTGACGAAACGAGCGGATAGTTTTTGCGTCAAAGTGCGCTTGCCAACGGAATTGGAAGAAAATACACACAGAGTGCAGCAGCAGTATTTTTCGGTTGTATATATAGCAAGCGGCAACTTATATAGAAGACGTAGAGTAGCTTTGGTCGTACCGCTGCCCCAGTGAACCGGTGCCTCGATGCTGTTCCAATCATGGAATTCTCCTTTGAGGACGGCAGCTTGTAGACTTAATAGGCTTTGCGGATTTCGAACATATCTCACTGCTGCGCTATATACATGAGCTGTTTACAAACTTGCGCTAGCTATCTCTGGTAAAATCCATCGCCAATCGATAATCAACGAGCTTTTATGTGCACTGTTTAGACGGTCGACATTTTTAACTATTTATATATAATTCATTAATGTGATAGCTTTACGAATGTTTTCCTTTGTCATCTTCATTCCACAGAATTAAAATAAAAAAATATAAAAAGACTCACTGAATTGGTACTTCTCTAGTTTTATAAAGCTTTATTGATAATAGTAAAAAGTAAGGCGCTAATTCATACCATCAACTGTCCAACATAGTTAAAGCGACAAATTTAATAATTATACTATTTATAATGACGTATATATCTCTTAATCGCATAGGATTATCAGGTTTTTTGGCATAGTTACTCCTCAAGTATTTTTGATTTTATTACATCAGCTCCTACAGAAATCATGCATCTTTTAATTTCACTATGAATAAAGCTAGCGGAGACAGTTGTTAATTAAAAGTGTCACGAACGAAGTTGAAAATATTTTGATCTATTTTGGTAAATAGTGTGATAGACCTGATCTCGTAAAGATGCATATAACTGTTGAATAAATGTCGGGAATCTGAAAAAATCATAAAAGCATTGATGAAAAACTTGAGAAATGCATTGTCGTCATCTTGTAACTTTTATACGAAGAGGTAGTATAGATGTTTTTTTTTTGAACGAATAAAATATATTGGGCGATAATTGAATGCGGTAGGTCCACTAAGTCGTTCGTAATCACGCATTAGCAGAAAAGGGAAATAACATTCTAGGGTATTTTTTTAAGATCGAGCAGAGCTACACAAGCGCAGAGATCAACGTACTTCTAGCGGTTGTTTTCCATCTTTGATCCCGAGCAAGTCGACACGTACACGAAGCCGAGAAAGATGGTATAAGAAACAGAGAAAAAGCTTAGACTTGGTCAATGTCATAGCATTCCTGCACGTTGTATCATGCGTTCAGCCAGTAAACTAGCTCTCAAGCGGCGCATGATATAGCTCTCGGGAGGCATAACCGCGCCCTAGAACGTCGGAAATGAGCTTTATAACATACGGAATGGCTCGTTTCTGATTATCCTTCGTGCGTCAGTTTGCTTGACATTTTTCTAGCTTGATTTAGATCACCTGTAACTGTGTTCTGATGTTCAAATTAACTTGACTTGCGACATCAGGGAAAATATTCTGGTAAATGTGAGACACACACAAGTACGGTACTGAAAATGAATAAAATATTAAATAATCTAGTAAAATAGTGCATTTTTTTCATCATAAATTAGTAATAATGATTTTTTTTAAAGATTTTTCATGGGCGTGCAATAAAAATAACCAACAATAACTAAAAAATAAAACATTGAATGATTTCATCTGGCATTCGTTCGAAATTGTTCATTGTTCACCGTAACATTAAAATGAATAACAAGTGAAACTCGGAAAAAAACTGCGGCGTTAGTGAGCGCACCTGCCAGAGGTATACCGGCATAAACGGTTTTTACTCCACTACAGGTAATGGCTAGGAGCGAAATTTTGCGGTACATTCAATGCATTTTTGCTACGAAAATAAAAAAATGTGACGAGCATCTGGTATACAGAACAGACACTGCATTCCAATTGTTTTCTTTTTGATTTGCAAAAAAATATTTTGTTCTAAAACTTTATTGTGCTGATATTTTTATGAAATATTTTTACTCTCAATAAAAAAATTCTTCGGAAATGTTTATATAGCATTTTCAAAACCTTATTCGTAATGAAATGGTTTTTACGTGGATGAATGATGAATTTTAGTAATGCATCAAGTGCAATTGTCACTCTTGTTTTACAAATCGTATATTCACTGCAAACTCTCCGATAACTCAATTTGGCTATACATGTGAGTTGCTTAAAATTAAAAAATTTTCGAGAATTCATCATATAACAAATTCAATGACTTCCAAAAAGCAAGATAGATCATATATGTTAAACATAGAACTTCAAAGCTTTCAAATAATAGTACAGAGGATTTGCTATCAGAGATTTTGAGAAAGCTAACTTGTTTGTAAAATATGTTCGTTTCCAGGCGAGAAATTCAAATTTATTTTGCAATATATCATTATGCAGCTTTGAAGTAAATATTAATAAACCCAAAGTACTTTAATGCTCAAAGCGTGCCGCAAGTGTAAAATGATTCTATAATGTATAAAAAAATTATTGGTATTAAAATATGAATTACGTGAATTTTACCATTAAGCAATTACTACGCTTGCATAAAGGTCGATTCGATATGTAGCTCCGCCAACATATTATACATACGAGGCTCGAGAGCCCCGACGTCGGGATCGTTAAAGCAGACATTGTCGCTCATAAACATTCGATCGATCTCTCGCCCTAAAGGTTTGCAACGCGGCCGCCTCTGAGCTATCGCCCGTTTGCACATAGCCGCCGGCGAGCTAATGGGAATTTCGCCGACTTCTGGCCTTGCCGCTGAGATCTGTTCATTCGAGTCGCAGCTCTGCGCGCAATATGTATGTACACCGCGGCCGAATATTCATTCAGGCTACGGCTATACACACGGCGCTCGCAGTCGAAATCTCGACGCCAGTCGTACCTTACAGCTTCGTGTATAGATATATGACTTATTCGGTTGGCATGGAAATTTCATGCAAGTAGG